GGTCTGTATATATGCTGCAGTAGTATAGGCCCTCTCCTATACCATATTTATATTCAAACACAGTCTTGTGACATGTTTAAATTTCTCAAAAAAAAGAGAAAAAAGATATGTTAAACCTTTTTTTTTTAGATATTCCTTAGGATATTTGTGCATTTCATACTTGAAACACATTGTCAAAATTTTGAGAAAATGCATTTAAAAAATACGTATTACTGTTCTGTAATCACGCATATTAAGCCTATACGGTACAGTACAGTACTGTATACAATATATATTTACGTAATGACAGTACTGTACAATATATAGTACAACACGCATTGCGGTAATTCTGCCCGTAACAAGCCCCCGTGGAACTACCATCCGCTGACATGAACGGCTGCATTACTGCACTGTACTTAAATTTGTTAGTGACGTCTGTCGATTGGGGAGCATGTTTTGGGCGAGAATCGATTAGTGTGTTGGAGATGTTAACGGAGCATTGGTTCGCTTCGACGAGAGGTGCTCTTGTCCGTTCGCCTGTTGTAATTGTCCTCGTCGAAGAGTGAAGTGGTCGATGTGGTGATCGTGAGCTTTCGGGAAGAATTTCACGAGCAAGGCTGTCAATACAATTGCTAGTGTCCATCTAACTGACCATGTTTGTTACAGTTAAGTAGGGATCTGTGGGCGTACCTCATACATGTTTATGGGGATCATGTTCAGAATGGTCATTGTTCAACATGCCCTATAAACTGAAAGAGGTTATTTTATTATGTATTGGTATTGGGCCTCCCATGATATTCCTGATGGTGGGGCTTTTTCTAAATACTGTTGTGATGTAGTCGGTTTCCATGTTACAGATCCTTTGAACTAGCCGATCCGTGGCTTCGAGTAGTTGGATGCCTGTGAAAGTTGAATTTCGCCTTCAGAATATTGTTTTTCGTCCGTGAAGTATTGAAGCAATCTGCCGGAATGTGTCCAGAATGTCACTGAATGTGGAGGACATCACGAGCTGTTCCTCTACGCATGAAAGCGATGATATTGTTCCACACGTGAGTTTCCGTTCAATGTTACGATGTGTATCTTGCAGTGTTTCATTTTATTCATGTATTGCAGAAAGAGTACCTCACTTTTGAAATCGATGAAACAGATTTCGATGAAGCCGAGTTGAAAGTAATTCGAGCCATCAAAGAGGTTTGTGAAGCCGTTTTTTTTTTTTACTGACTGCACATTCTTCAAGTTGATCGATTTATTTTTAGGTTGCCGAGAAAACTCTGTATCACTGGAAAAATTTTCCGGTGCGACTACCCATTCCTCCGGCGCCTTTTGATCATGGCGTTGCTGAAAGTGATCGAAGTGGTAACATCGAGAGTGATGCTCATAGTCGCATGAGACAGCGCCGTGCTTCTCCTAGAATTGGTGGCGTATCAAGCTCAAAAATATTTAACGTGAGTAATTTTTTTTTAACTTTTCAACGTGGAATCAGCTCTTGATTTTTTTTCAGCTAAGGGACCTTTTCATCGTTCCGTCATTCGATGAACTACAAGAGGTTGCTTTGAATTCTCATAATGAGCCGAAGCATTTGACCTATGCTAATTTAGACTCCATACAGAATTCGGGGTGAGGAGTTCTTAAATTTTTAAATCTTCCCGATTTATTGTTACCAGTTGTTTCTTCAGTGAATTTGAGGTTGACAGTGTTCGTTTCCCTGGGCATGTCCACCGATGGAAACTCAGTCAAATTCTCCAGAAAGGTCGGATGAAGACGCGGGAGACCCTTTTCGATGACCTGAGTCTCGCCTTGAGTTTCATTGTGATCAAAGCCAGAGATAGCTTTTTGTCTTCCGAATCAATATCCGTCAAGAATGGCATTTCTTCATTGCTAATTGGAGTGTTCTGTTTATTGGGTGCGTATCCTGAGTTTTAAGTATTTTAGGACGTATTCCGTTCACGTGTTCGGCTTTTTTTTTATAGATGGATTGATCGGTCTTCCAAAGCTGAGTTCGAAAGATTTGGAAGAAAAGCTTATAGAAGAAAGGGCGAAATACTTGACTATTGAATTAACTGCACGGGTAAGAGATTCTTTGATTGTAACACTTCAAAGCTTGATGCTTAATTTACTTCATGTCTTTGCTTTTCTTCGCATAGCCTGGTGAAGAAGATGATTTGTTCGACTTTTGCGAATTTGTGAAGGACGCCAGTGTAACCCTCGAGAATGTCGGTTGTGGCATCCAGGAAGATTCTGTGTTCCCAAACTTCTGGTCTTGCTCTGAATTCATCCCCAAATCAGCTTCCGTTGGGGAAACCGTGCTTCGTTCAAGTTCTAGTGGTAGTCTACCGAAGTTACCGTACAGTTTCTACACTCCTAGAAATACGGAGATAGATCTCCGTTTGTTTGACCGGTCTGTTTAAGCAAAAAGCATGGTACTCTTCGAATTTAAAATGATCGTGCTATTTTTTTTTTCCAGGGGACTAATCTCCAAAGCATCCAGTATACTTCAGCCAGTACTGGAATCAGAAACCAAAGGCTGGTTTTTGCATTTCAAGGAACAGCAGCTCGCTGAGTTTCGAGACCGTAAAGTTTCAGATGATCAAGTAGAAAAGGTGAGTTTTGTTTTCCTTTTTTTCTCATAAGGCCTCATCATTTTTTTTACTTTCCATGCCAGGGTTTTTTTTTTGTGGAACAATTTACTGTCCGATTTTTTAAGTTGGTATGTTATCAACCTGCTTGTTTTTTAAATTTAGACTTGCGTGTGGTTATCAAATTTGTGCATGAATCTGAATTTTGCGCATGGCTTTTGAAAGAATTTTCATACATCGGCTTAGATTGCCCATAACCTGAATGTGCGATTTACTTGATTTTTAGGAAGTCAATACTGCGATCATGGACGAATATTTGAAACGAGTTTTTGCGCGGATTCTAAGCAGTGAACAACTTCACGCGTTGGGCAAAGATGTTCCAGAACTTCTCACAGAGCACGCGAAATCTATCGTTTGGATGTGCAGGTAAGGAATTCACATTTTTAGAGCGAAACGTCACGTGCGAATATTTCTTTGGAATTTTTTTTATTATTCCATAATAGGGCTGTCGATAACATGAACGAAGCTATGCAAACAGCTATGGAGGAAATGGAAACGCGGTTGGTCAATTCTTACCTGTTGCTCAGCCGGATAAAAAAGTGGATGGAAGAGAAATTGCGGGAAGCAGAGGTGATAACCATGTTATATTTTTGACGGAACTTTTTTCAACTTAAAAAATATTTTTTTTTTCCAGGAATTATTCATCAAAGAAAATCAATGGAGCGCGCATGAGGAGGCCTTAAATTTATGCAGGGAACATGGCTTACACCAGACGGCGTATTTCCTCTCTCGGGATTTGACTTTCATGCGTGATGTTAGCGTCTTCGCATTGTTGGGGAAAAATAATTCCGAATACAGATGAAGTAATATACGTCTTTTTTTTCTTTAGCGTCGACCAGTCCTTTCAAAGGAATTGGAATGCTTACGAAAACCCGTCCTATCTTTTGAATGGGGCTTGCGTCTGTGGGCAACAAAACAGTGGAAGGTGTACAAGCGTGTCAAACCAGGGTTGGAGGAGTTGGTCCCAACGGCATTTTCTTCAAATGCGTCGCCTTCTTTACCAACAAGAGCTAGTTCGAAATTGAATACCGTGAGTAAAATTGNTAAATTTGTAATAGCTTTGTGACGGTGGGGAAAATAAAATTTGTTTTGGGGTTCGCGAAAGTGGGCTTTCTGGTGTAGAAGTTTGAATTTTTAGTTGAAAATTGAGTGGATGGAACATTTCAGAAATGAGGTGTAGGAATTTCTTTGCGAACAAAAGAAAAAGCTGTCAAGCTGTTATTTCAGGTGTCATCGATGTAGGTGTTTCTCAAGAATAGAAATTTGTTAACTCTTAAGTTCTTGCAGATTCTTGAAATTCCTTGAAAAAATGAGATGCTGTATATCTCAATGAACAAACCACAGCAAATGATTCGAATTTTAATTTCGAGCTGTATGATTCGCATAAAAAGTTGTGTTCATCAGTTTTGCTGGAATCCGAGGAACAGATGATTTCGGATTTGAGCCAGAGAGTTCGATTTTCAGAGTTTTCTGGTTTTTGTAATTTTTAAATTCAAAAATGAACCAGGAGTTCAACGGGAAGCATGCAACTTGAAAATGAGCCCTGGTTGGTATTTTATTTTCGAACTTCCGTGCGAGGCGTCTTGTATTATAATTGAATCAGCGTACATATTTCTGTCTCTATTCTTCGTTTTATATTTTTAGGAGGTCTACAGACTAGAGCGTGAGATCAAATTCACGAGTTCGTCCCGCTATCCAGGCTGGCGATTGCTGAACTTGATCCTGAGGACATTCGTTTACACAAATAATGCTGTGTACTTCTTCGGAGTGAGTTGAAGCTTTCCAATTGAGCTTATTTGGCGAATTTGATCTTGAATGTTCTCGTTTAAATTAGATTTTGATTCCTCTGATGAGCCCTGTCGGTTTGCGGGCACTGTTCTCGGTTGAGCCGTTTGTTGCGGATCATGAGCTCAATCAGGAAAATGGATTGCTCTTCCCTAAAACTGAAAATCGAACTCCAACATTTACATCTCGCTTGATACACTTGTGGAGACACGTGGGAAGAGCTCGGTCGCAGTTTGAGCTAGAGCCTGATATGGGTGAGTTTCATTAAATCAACGGCTTTTTGTTATTCATTTGTGCTAATTAAAAAAAGTTGACCGGTGAACGTGCTGTAGTAATTTCGGCAGAAAATGTTGTCAAAATCCGTCTCAACATTCTCTACCGAACAGAACTAAACGTAGTGATCGCTGCTAATCTCAGCTTTCAAAGAAATTTTTGTATTCGTGAGTGGATTTTTGGGTCCTGAGTGGGAAAAATTGGAAGATATTTTCTGGTAATACTGTAGTAGTAAAAATCATGAAGCATTTGTATTTCCTGGTTATGACTTTTCACTGAAGTCCACTCGGAACTCAATCAACGCCTCTCCAACTGTCTGAAAGTGGAAAAACCATTGTTATCTGTGGTCTCGCAATTTGACTCGTTGAGGAGACCTTCCCTTTATGTTATCTCGTCGATTCGTGCTAGAAAATGGGAGAATTTATGTTGGAACATTTCGGAAGAGGATTAAAATGCATGCAACTTGGTCGGTTACTAGGTTCGGTGTGCGTTATGCACTAAATACACGCTCATTCATCGGCGCATGTCGTCGTGACTTGAGTGGTCCTGTGTATTCATTATTTCGGAAACCAACTGCTAATTGAATTTTTTTATAATATTTTTCAAACATGCCAATTGTGCTTTGCGTGGCGCGATTTCAAATTGTTTTTTTCTGCTAGCTTGAGCCTTTTTTGTTTTTCTTGTAGTGAGCCGCTAAATTTGAATCTTGTCTTAGACCTTGATTACGGAGCTTTTGTTTAGCAAGATCGTGCTTTTTGGTCTCTAGGATTTTTGGGAAAAACGTACGCCAGACATCTGAACAGGTTTTGGAACTACTTCCTGAAGGGGATCCTTGGAACAGTTGTGCTTGTGTTGTGTTTCCCGTTGCTTTGCTTCTGTGTGTCAATTGGATCTTTAGCGATGGCGTTGGCTGCTCCTTTATGGTAAGCTTTCTGTTCTGTTCTGCCACACTTTTTTCGATGCCTTGGTTGAGGTTTCGTAATTTCCCTTGCGTATCACGTTAAAAAATTGTAAGAAGAAAAAATTGTTACATACAAGATCAAAATTATTTCAGACCGATTTTTAGAAGACAATATTATTTTTAGAACTACGGAATTTTGGAACAGAATTACGGCTAAATGAATGCAATATGTATAATTTCCTGCCTTAAAAAAAAACCTTATCGTAGGAAAAGTTGCGGAAGTACGGAAAAAATTTAGTACGAATGACGGCACTGTTGAGAAAACTGTGAATGCTGAAATACTGAATCTGGTCTCAAAGAGATCCGTTCGGGTGTGCTGTGCATTTTCATTGAAAGATGAAGTTTACTGAATTTAAACCCGCAAGTTGGTCTTTATAAACCTTCTGATTTCAAATAGCCACAGTACCTGGCGTTAAAATTGGAAAATCATGACTATTTTCAAAAACCCATGAACTTTCACGTTAATTTGACACCGAATTACTGGGTTCATCAATTTTGAGATATCGCACTTCAAATGAAATCTCCTTGCTTCGGCCACTTTTTCCAAGCAACATTTTTATGTAAAATAGCTTTTTATGGAATACAATATAAAAGTACGAAACAAGAGTGATCTGCAAGATATTAAATTAAGCTTCTATTTATTCCTGCATAAGTTCCTCAACTTCCGTATATTTAAGAAAAATCGTCGGAAAATTGGTCTGAAATATTCTAATATCGACCAACCTTTGAATCATTTCTGTTCTCGAAGTACGATATTCGTTCGAGCCTTGTTTTTCATCTTGCTTGCTCTCGTTTTTTTTTCCGTGTTTTGAAGGGTTCCTGTACTTGTTGTGCTTGCTCATGTCGGGATGCTGCTTGTTTACGATTGGGACGCAGCTGTTGCGGGCCCATCTGGTGCGACAACGGTGTTATCGATGGCAGAAACGTGTCGACGCGGCGGACGCAAGCGCGACGGTGATGAATCGCGGAAATCCACGTTGAAACAGCGGGTCGGCGAGGTGGAAGTGTCGATATGCGATACGCAGCATAATGTTTGGTTCCGTTTGTGCGAGTCCGTCCTGTGGAGGATCATTATATGCGGCGTTATTCAGCCCGCCTTTGCAATTGTGTTCGGCTGTTTGGTGTATCCATTCATCGCGATGATCATTGCGTGTGGTGAGATTTCATTTCAATCATTTTTTTTAATGGTGTCATAGCCTTGAATTAGGAAGAATTCGTGATCAAGCAAATGTAAATTTTAGAAAGCGTTTTTTTAACGTCAGGCTTGTGGTAGGAGGGTTTTTCTGCGCTACAAGTTTATCAGTGATGTGACTGCCGGTTAACCGAGATTTTTTTCATTTAAGCGAATACAACACCTTTTCGTTTTCAAAATTTTAAAATTTTAGATAAATGCGTCCCGATCCTGATAGATGGAATCGTGAAGGTAAAACTTAAATCTGAACCATTCGAGTGAGCTGGGAAACATTTTATGAAGAAAACTATTACTGTATGCTCATTTTTAAAAACTTTTTATAGTTTAAGAAAAGTAAGATACTGTAAAACACTTTTTCAGTACAAAGGTCATAATTTTTGGCGGCATAGATAATGTTAGGGTTGAAATTTTAATTTCAGGAATTTTCCAGAATGGTCCCGGAAAAGTGAAACTGACAATATGGCTGTAAAGTCAGCTGAAAGGAGTTAGTTCAGAACCTTCGAGGAAGATTTAGCAGAATAAGCAAACGCAAATCGGTATTCTCAGAAAAATTGACCATGGCCTTCTAGTTTATTTTTTGGCAAAACTTCCATCACATTGATGGTTACAAGTACTGTATACCTTATTCAACATGCTGTAGGATCTCACCCTCAGTTTTTAAGTCGTTTGAATTGAAAATTGCGGAAAATTGGCGACAGGTTTTATCTGTTTATTATGATGATTTGGTGATTACTGACGAGAACTTCTGAGAAGCCCGTCGTGCAAATAGTTCATTATCTTTTTGGTCAGCCTTTGTCTCATGCTTTCGAAGCCGGCAATGCCTATCCAGCTTCTCTGTTGGAAATGAATTTTATTCCCTTTCTTACAAAATAAAAGTTCCTTTTATGTGCAGGTGCATGTATAAGATGGGCGTTTCGTTCGGGATGGGACGCTCTGATGTTCCATTGGTTGATCAAGCGTCACGGGCAAATCCCGAGCAAAGACAGCTGGGTGGCTAAGAGAATCGCTGGACCTGGTCTGGTTGCAACTGTTGCACTCGTCTCACGAAAGAAGAACCAATCTGAGAATCGGTGGTTTTTCCCGCTGATAGAGCGACGGGAAATGAAAGAAAAGGAGAGGGATGAGAAGAAGCAATTTTACTTCCAGATTCAACCCCCGCAGGCCTTGGCAGCACTGGAAGCCTGCTTGCTTTGGGAAGAACTCGTGACGTTTGAGGAACAGGCGAAGCGAGTCGTCAGTGCTCCGATTGAACATTACAAGTGAGTAAATAGCCTCTTATTTTTGCATGATTCGAAAATATTGATTATAAGATGTGCCTCTCTCCGCATTGTTGGTATTCAAAATGATTTTACCTGCGGATATCAGACCAGTATTCGACATGGAAACACTTTGTAACATTGAATTTATTTATACAGTAATTAGAGGAGCCTGAATTCTACTAATGCTTCAGTCAACAGCTCATTCATCATTTCGAGAAAAAAATCAGGATTCTGTCTTGTGTCCTACATCAGAAATTATTATAGGACCCTTGTTCGATTAAATTCAAAACTTCGTTGCTGAATGGAACAGGTAATTAATTCCAAATCCCCTGGAAAAAATTTATTTCTCAAATGAGCACTAAATTATACTTGTTTTTTTTTCTGTTTGAAATAATAGCTATCATTCCCAGGAATTGGGAAAACAATGTTGAACACGATAAAGAATATCTAGAAACCTTTTATTCGCATGAGAAATGATGCTTGCAACCTCATTCCCGAAGCAACTGTTGTTGTTCAATTAAAGTTCTGAATCATCATTTTTCATGCTGTCTTGTATCTAAAGCAGGATCCACTATCAAATGAAAAATCACTAATAGAATCATTCGGGCGAAAGACCCAAAAATGGCCTACGGGTGTATTCTGTGGAATCATTCTCCAGAAAATATGCGAGAACGTCTTCATACAGAAGGAAAATAGCACTTGCACAAGAGTTCTTGAAATATTCGGATCGAAGTGGGATATTTTATTTTTTGCTTATCTCGGTTCTCACGTTGGCATTTTAACTTTTTTTCAAGGAAATTTCTCGACAAGTGCTTGTTGCCGTTCTCTGGCTCGGTCTCCCGCGAGGTTGGCACGAAGCTGAAAGAGCTGCAACTGGAACGAGACGAGGCTCTGACGAGCGTCTTGAGACTCATGGATCGCCGTCGCGACGACGTCCGTCTCGGACTGTCCAGCGACGTTCGGCCTCGAGTGCGGATGTCTCAACGCGACTTGTCCGCCTGTGTTCTCGCGGCGGCCGAATTGTGTCGCCGTTGGTACGAAGAGCGGATTTGGAGACGTGCTCGTCGCGTGGACTCGGCTCTCGGGCCCGCCGCCGTGACCCGGAAAGGCAGCTTCCGAGCTGGCGCCGGACCCGGGTTGGGCATCGAGGATGACTTTTGGGTCGCGAAAGGTCTTCCTGTTGGCGACTGGATCGGCCTTGCCGCGCACCTTCTCTCTGAGATATTTTCCGAGGAGATTTTGTGTTTTTTGGATGATGACGATGTACGATTCCAACTCGGGGTAAGTTGTTGCTGATAATGAGGATTTTTGCGGTGATCACTCTTTACACTTGTGTGGTTCATTTTTTTGTGTAAGCGAAGCCTTTTTCGCATGTTAGACCACTGATGAACAGATAAAGTGCAGAATCTCGTTGTAAGAATCTTCGACGATTTTTTTTAGGTCCCTGTCGAATTACTGCAGTGTTATTTGAGTTCGCTTATAGCGAATGTTTCTTTATAACGAAGCTGTTTTACTGATCCGAATGGCTTCATTTCAACGAGATTTTACTTTCATTAAGTCCAGACATCGGAAGCTATTATTGAAGAAGGATTTAAAGGAGCAGGCTCGGATTCGAATTTTTTCTGATGTTACAAAAATATAAATGCCTTAAAATTCTGTTGTATTGTCATTAGCATCTAAATGAGAAATTTACATAACTGTTCGGGGCCAAGTTTTTGTATGAAGGATCATCTTGTAAAAATGTTGTACCGATGTTTGAATTTTCTCCTAAGATGCTGCGGACGTCGGATTTATCTCGATATTACGAACTGGTGTCGGAAGCGGAGCTGAAACTTGATCGAAGCGAGGAAGGAAGGACAGTTTTGCCGATACACGGATGCAAGCGGAATATATTCGTCGCCTCGCCGAATTTCGACGTTGCCAACTTTAATCCGTCGCCTTCCGTTGGGGGTCCAGCTAAAAGACCGACAATGTCGCGAAGGTACGATCGACATCACTTCTATTGGAAATTATGACTTCTTTACAGATGTGTCGAATAATGAAGTTGCCTAAGTTATCCGTGCGTAAAATTCTGTATCCGTCATAGTAGGTTTAATTTTTTTATACCTTTTAAAATTGCATGGAAAAAGTTAACAAATTGTATACAGATTTCAACCATTTAGATTGAAACAAGCGTAATGACCAATGTTAGCATAATTTATAGAAATTTAATTCCGACTGTGATAAGTGTTCTCCTCAATTTGTCGATTTGAAAGTTCAAGAATTTTACTTATCTATTAAGAACTGCCGTCACTTGCATTTTGGTTCAGTGGAGTGTTAGTTGGCGTCTCAGAAACGAAACACATATCAGTCTGCTGAGGCTGGAGAATCTTTCGTAGAAGTGAACTCCTCATTAGTTAAATGGGATTCCAATGTTAGATTTCAAGTGCTCCCGAACTATAGAAGTTAAACTATTATCATTCACGCACTGGTGGTATTGATATATGTGACAAGAATAAATTTTTTATTTATTGGTAAAACCATGGCAATTCAACTTTTTTGAGGTTAAATTTCTCTGCACACATTTTTACTCGGCCCAGGTTTGATTGTAGTATTTTCTTCCTTGGTCTTTTCTCGTTTTGAACGTTTCCACCATTGGTTTCGATGGCAACTGTAGTCCCAGAATTGACATTCTTCGGGGATGCAGTCGAAACTTTTGAATCTTTCTCATTTGTAAATCGTTCCATCTTGAATAGAAAAAGGGATTCGCTGACAGTGTCGCAGCCGTCCACGCTGGTCACGTCGTCTGTGATGGGCACAGCTTTGCTTCCCGGGTTCAGTGGGCGGAAACAATTGCGCTATTCTGGCGAGAATCTCGCAATTCCGCTTCCCATTCCCCATCCACTGGTTGTCGCCATGTCAATCTACAATCGCGATGGAAGTGACCCAATCTCTCTCGAAGAACCTTCAGTTCGCGCGATTTTGAGTCGAATCGGCTCTGCTGGGATCAGTGTGAAAACACCCAGCGCAAACACGACCACCAGGAGTGAGAACACGTGAATATTTGTTTTCTCTTTTTTTGCTGTGTCGGTCGTTCGTTTTTTGAAGGATTTTTGCTGGGAAGTGCGTTGATTTTTATGATCATGATTATTTTTTGCGGCGAGGCAGAATTCTGCGTCATTCCATGGTCGAGTGTTCGATTCAATCTCATGAGGCTAATCTTGTTTCGATTGCTGACGAAGTTTTTTTTTTTTTTTGCCTGACCTGTCGCCATAGTGTGACGTAATATTTGTGGCATGTTTTGATGGTTTCATATTTTTAGGGTCTCCTCAGAACTCACCGGATTAGCTGAAAAATTCACGAGTTTTGACTTCGGACGATTTCCGTCTGTCTCCGGATTTTTCTTCTTGACATCGTGGGGAGGAAACTGGAAAATTTCAAAATGATTTGAAAAATAGTTTTTCATGATTTAAAAATTCAGTGGACCGAGTAACACTCTGACGAAGTGGTTGTAATTTTCGTGTTAGGGATACGCAGCTGAAAAAATGAGAGCGAAATGCGGTTTTGTGAAGTTATTCTGTAGATGTTTTATGCACAAATTTGGGAAGTGTATTGAGACTGGCAAAAATCGCAGCTCAGCCTCAAAATGTCAGTCAATTTTTTTTAAATCGTTCCATTGCGGAGCCGTTGCATCAATCCAATTCCGATGGTTTGTTTTTGGGATCTAAGCTTTTTTGAAGTTGATGTTGGTGTCCTTTTCTTCAATCCGGTGACTTTTGATGATGCCTTTCTTTTTCACAATGCAGTACAGTATCCCGAAACTTCGCGTAGCTCGATAGTGTGTGTTGGTGCTGTTCCATCCGGTAATTTTTTCCCCGATTTAAGGAATGATGTTGACTCTTGGAGGAAAGAACCCCGTGTTTTGTCGGAAAATTCGAATTTCATGCAGCGCTTCTCTTTCAAGTGCAAATTTTGTCAATGAACGCTTTTTCAAGTTCGCTAAATTGAGATGCTTTCGTGGTACAAGCTATTCGAGGCTAGATCTTTTTTTTGTTTTGGTATTGAGTAATGCCAAATCTTTTCGCACGTTTGTTGCTACGGTCTCTTGATATTTCGATGGAATTTTTTCGATTGATATTCATCATGTTTTTTGATCTTCTCGTAACCAAAACCAAAAAAAGTTTCGTTTGCTTCCTTACTTTCTTTTCCTTTGTTCCGCGGGAAGAAAAATGAGCATTCGTAACTGCCATCAACAGTTCGAAGAGATTTTTCATATCGGAAGCATTTTACTGCCATGTTGACCTTTCAAAAAACAAATTTTATTCGGTTCTCGATGCGGGAGATTTTTGTAGGTTACGGAGGAAAGTCTGTGATGCATTGAACCGAGTTCCGTTTGGTTCTAAGTCATGTTTGATGCCCTATGTACGTACGTGGCAGTGAGACGGACGCGGAAAAACAAAGTTGTTAGCGAAAAGTTTGATGTACTAAAAAGGAGAAAATTCAGGCAGAGCGGGAAAAGCGGTGGAAACCTAGTGAAGTTTTGCGAAAGATCTGAAATTTAGCACAAGTTTCTAGGACTTTTTCTCGACGTTTCTTGAAGTAGGGAAGTATGTAATTTTCTAGGGAAACTAGCGACGGGTTTTTGACGGAAGAAAAAGAAGGAAGAAATCCTAGCCTGATCAAAGTGTTATTTCTTCCGATGGATCCATTTATTTGCTCAAAGATCACGACTTTCATGTGCTTCGTTTCTAACTGTTTGTGGTTGTGACAAACCGAATTTTCTTTTTTTTTTATTATTTAGTTCAAGTCCCGAGTTTGACGGCGTGTATTCTAAATTTGTTTTCTTTTTGTTTCCCTTGAAATGTGCAGCGAAATTGGGTTTGATTTCTTTCCCCCACATTCCTCCGAGTTTGTGTTGAGCAGCTGTCTTTAGAATATTTCCTGTCGATTGAACAAAAATAGAATCGGGATTGAAATGTTCCCCTAATTTTCTTTCGTGTCACGCAAATGCAAAAAGCATTTTTTTAAAACGAGCACCGCAATGTGTATTGGGTCATGAGTCTGTCCATTCCTGCCGTGTTTTTGTCCGAATTCATAGACCGTGATTTCAACCTTTTACCCTTCACCGGGAGTACGTGTTTTGAAGACGGATTTTTTTTAAACTGTGGAAATGAGAAAGAAAAATACTCGGGATTTGCGACAGAACAAGCGAATAGCTTCTTTTTTCTTCTTACCGGCGATTGTTTCTTTTTTTTTTTACAAATTTCTTCTGCGACAAAAAATTCCCCACACGGAAAGCTTGAACATGAAATAAAATAAATAAAAATGCGGAAGGCACGAACGAGTCGGAGCCGAATGCAAAACAACCCGAATCTTAGAATGCGCCCGACACGGGGGAAAAAAAATGAATTCATGTGCGAGGTGGTTTCATTCGTATGAGGGAACACAAATAATTGAGAATCGCTGTTACGTGCGCGAAACAAAAATAATAAAAAATATCCACACGAGAAATGGTACAATTGTTCTAATTACAAGCATGTTTTCGCCCCGCTTCTCTCGATCAGAAATACTCAGAAGCGTAGGAAGCGAATGAAAAAAAGTTTCACATATATGCCCACTCATACTGTCCACGGAATGATCATCACTTCAACCAGCGTTTTTGCTGACTTCAAAATAAAACAAAATTGAAACCTTTTCAGCAAGGAACGGAAATCTGCCAAATTCAATGACGCGCATTTGTTTTGTTGTTGTAGGTACGCAGAAAAATGCTGTTCTGTCATAAGAACTGTGTAAAAGTTTTGTGAATGAAACGAAAGCAGAATTTTGTATAATCAGACTTTTTGCTTATTGCACATCTGTGAACGTTTGAGATTGTATGGGTGCCACTTTTGGCAGATACCAGAGGTAACCATGCTTGGTATGCCTGGTTCGAATGGTACGATATCTAAAAGAAACCCTCGTTACATGGTTCACTTTTGTACATATTTTCAGACATTTGTGCCATGAATCTTCTGTGTACCAGGTGCCTGCAAATTACCATTTTATATGTGCATCAACATACTCAGGGACATTTTCAAGAGAATCCTCTGATACGTGTATGTCAGACAAAATAATATGTTAGCATTCCATGGGTGTCATGTGAAGGAGCACTAATAGTTACCATCACCATTCTATTGGTCATATTAAAATACTTTTAAGCTTCTGAAAAAAATATTCTAAATTTCCTTTTGTGCGAAGAAACAGTTCGAATTTATCACTTGCATATGTGTATTTTGTGAAATTGAAATGGCCATTCTCTTTCATACAATTTGAATAAAATTCAGTTTCCGCATTCATCCTGCAGTTTATAAAGCATCCTAAAGAAAAATAGGCAATACCTCGATTTCTGCTCTGCTTGTGTAATTTTTAACAATTTTCATTTTTGTCGGTCAGCCATCCCTTTTCAACCTATTTTTTAAATTCCCAATAAAATCAACAAAAATCTAACTCGAATAAAAATATTCACTGGCCTTCAACGTTACAGCCACACAAAATGAACCTCAGTGACTAACAATAAATTTCACGCTACAAAGTGTGTGAACAGCTTTGACGACATATCTCACATACATGAATAAAATCTCAAACACGGATCCATTTGTCGGTTTCTTGTTTCTCTTACCCCAGTCCTTTTTCTTCCCCTTTTTTCTTTCTGGGAAGTACTTCCGATTTGCTCCCGACGTCGAACGAATATATTTCCTCGAGGAGGTTACGTGAATCTTTCGTCACCGGAAAAAAATAAGTTTTTCCGTTTTTTTTTTTTTTTAGCTGCTAATGACGACATTTCTTTGCAGGTCAATTGCTTCTGCAGCAACACTCGGGAAAATGAAGTCAGAGTCGTCATCGACGTTGTTGTGGCGTCCAGCACTGAAGGTCTTCTGATCGTCGCGACGATATCGCTGTCGATCGTCGCTGTCCTCGGATTGGAATGCGGGGTTTGTCGAGTTTGAGTGGTCATCCAGCTGTGGGTGATTTCCGGAAAATCGTCGGATTGAGAAACTTATATAAATACGAGGAACAGCGACACTTTTTTTTTTAAATACGAAAATAAATATTTTTGCTGGTCTCACGATACCACCGTCAGAAGCAGCAAAACTAACTTAAACGACACCCAGCACCACAAAAATCACACCGATCTACTCCACAACATGTATATCAACCTTTCAGTGATACTTTTAAGATGAACTTGTGCCATCTTTGAGAAATCAAATTGGACTTTTGTATGAAAATACAGTGAGACCCCGAGATGCGGACGTTATTGGTGCATCAAGAATGTCCTAATGCGGGAATGTCCCCGAGTCAAGTCCTGTTTTCCCTTAGACTTCAGTGCTAACGTATTCAATATTGGTTCTCCATTTTCTCAAAAATTAGGAATAAGGCCTCGAAAATGTAATAAAATTTTTTTCCCTCGATTTCAAGTTGTAGAAAACAGTACAGTGCAAAACCAAACATAATCTGATCTTTTAGTATCAAAAGGAGATCAAAAAGCAAAGCATAAGTTTTGCCAGGATATGTACAGATGATAGAAAAGAAGATGCGCAAAATAAGCTGACTTTTGCCTAGGAATTCATCATGACATATTTTTCAATTTTTGTGAATATGTATAGCTTGATTTCTTAAAAATATCTCAAACTTAAAATTAAATTTTTTTTATTTTTTGGGGAAATTTCAGAAAATTGTCCCTAACTTGAGCCAATGTCTGGATGTTGGGCCTGATTTTTTTGGTTTTAAATTGTCCCTAAGTCGAATTGTCCATATGTCAGGGTGTCCGCATATTGGGGTATCATTGTAATCCACATTTTGCTAAATAATGCGGTAAACAATTTTGCTCATCAACATTTTCTATTCACAAAAAGGCATTAGTGTAAGCAAGTTTTGATTTTGAAATTTTGAAATTTTCCAAAGGCAAAGCAGGAATTGCAAAATAGAGGTAGAATTAAATTCTTTTCGAGGCCGATCAGTTACTGAATTTCAGAAGAGTGAGAATTTTAGAAGTTAAATGAAACATAATAGCTGCAATAAATACAGTTCAAAAACCTCCTGGCATCGTCACCAAGCAAGCAAGCAACAAATGTTTTAAGCAAAACAATTTCAAAGGAAAATTAACTGTCATCTTAAACCGAGGCCAGTGATTTTATTGGCATTGTGAGAATAAAATATCCATCTTGTAATCTGGTTTCAAATTGCTGAAATGCATTTTCTAATCTTTCAAATGACATCAAAACTATAAATTAAATGGGTCAAGTTTCTGACTGAAGGAAATAAAGAAGAATCTCATTACAACTAATCTCGTTTCAGCAATTAATCGCTTACAATGAAGTCGTTTTAAGAACCCTTGGCCATCAATTTCAAAATTACTTTATTTTGAAATTTTCGTCATAACCAAACTATTTTACGAATCCAATAAGGGTTTTGTTGTAACGCAATTTTACTGTACTGTACATGCATCCGACTTATTGAAAGGTTTCAGCTCATTGCTTTGAAAATACTGCACAGTACCTGTATAACTACTGTACTGCAAAATACATAATTGGCAATTTACTTCAGCAGTAGTCAACTAACAGAGTCATAGAGTAAAAGGTCACATCCCAGAACCTTTTGCGAAGCATCCAAATTCTACCAAGTCTTTCCTTCACTACCCAACCCATCACAAAGGTATTACTTGAATTGTTGGTAATAGTAATTAAAATATAGCAACCTGGATTGTAATTAGCTGGCTGGTCCTGTTAATCCAGCAAACTGCAAGATTGCTGCTGCATCTGCTGGCACACAGTGAAAAAAGAGAACAAAATTTCCAAGACCAAAATAGACCCCATAATTTTGAATATCAACAGTGGTCATTATGCAAGCTGTGTAATTTCGGTGATGTGCAAAAATGTGTATACAGCATACGGTGAAAATCCACGCAGTGCTTCCAAGAATGTGCATCAATATAACAAAGTTCGTGACTTTCATGATATCTAAAAATTTCAGAAACAGGTTTCTTAAATTTTCTCAATCATGGACTATCGAAAAAAAACACGAAAACGGTTTTACAGTACAGTAATATACCGTGTTAGATTAGAAACTTTGCAAAACTTGGAACATCTCTGTTTTATACCATTTGAATAACAGAAGAATCTAAAAAAGGATTTAAACCCTCGGGCAACAGTGGCATAATTTTTCAGGGCATGATAATGTAAAATTATTTTGTGCGTGCTATTCTGCATTTTGGTTTCGCACAAAATGTCTCAACCCCCAAAATTTGAAGAAGTAAAAGTCTAAAAATACTTTGAGGAGTGTAGCATTTTTACTTTTTTCCGAATAATTTTTTGACTTTTACTCAAAACTCTTTAATTTTTTGGGCTTCAAGCCAAAATTCGAAATTATACTATATAAATATATCTGAAAATGTTTATATGGAGAACAGCAGCTTAAGCTTTTTTAATCGTCCTCCTGTTTTTTTTTCGGAGATAAATTCTATTTTTCTTCAAGAAGTCTCTGCTTATTTTTCGATGTATTTTGAAAGTTATCATTCATCATGCAGAGCATAAATATTTTTTTTTGACAAAAAATTCCTGAGCAGCAACAGGAAAAATGAAAATCGAAACCGGACTCATTGGTTACTGTCATTTTATAAATTCGAGATTTCCTCAATCAAAGTTCTTGCTCATAGCCGACTCTTAGAGGGTCAAGAAAAAGAAAAATTTATTGTTGCCACTTTTTTCAAAAAATTTCTTTCATATCGTAACGAGAGTGAACCTATAAAAAAAACTATGAATACAGTACTGTACATTATTTTGGTGGACGAAANTGTCAAAATTGGAGGATTAAAACAGTATTGCACTGCATTTTATTAATTATTTCTAAACAAGCAGGGTAATACAATTTTGTACAATACTGTACAGTGAGACCCCAAGATGCGGACGTAATTGGTGCATCAAGAGTGTCCCCAAGTTGAAATGTCCCTAGGTCGAGTCTTGTTTTCCCATAGACTTACATTATATAATTTTTAATTGGTGTTTCGTGGAAGAAATATTCTTCAGAATTCCCTGAAAAAATTCTTTGCCACTTGAATTTGAATTAGTGAATACATTTTCAACTCAATAAGAACATTTGGAGCATTGAATAGTGTATCTCTGTACTGTAAACTGAAATTTTGGCATCTAAAAAAATAACATTAAAGTGAAAAAAAGTTGAAGTCCCTCTATGCTGGAGGTAATTTGTTTTAATTAGCTAAATTGATGGTAATTTTGTGAGA